GAAGATACCATGAAGAGGTAATAAGAGGTAACAGGCGGCTAAAATCTCTGTTCCAAATTCTTCTACAAGATTTCCAAAATACCCCAAGCCATGGTGGAACCAACAATGCCAACAGAGGAACAGACAACAGAGGAACTCAACGACAACAGAGGAAAGCTTAATTCGTATATGTATATATAATAAATTTCGTATATGTCCCACTTCTGTAAATCTCCTGGCCTGTAAAAGAGCCAAATCAAATGCACTGAAAGTGCGACGGCAAAGTCAGAGGTGCTTCTAGATATCTTATGTATCTTCTATAGCAGTATCTACGCCAAGCAAATGAGTATGGGAAAAATTAAGGAAGACAACTAGGATGTATAGAAATTACTCTCTCTCCACTCTGGAGAAGAATGTTCGAATGATCAGCACCACAGATGAAACTGCAAATTTGATAGGGGAGAGTTTTCCCGCTATCTCTAGTAAAAGCAATCATCCATCTACATTTCGTTCTGTCAAGCTGCGGTGTGAGAGAAATCCCATTCTGTTTAACTCGAAGCCTTATAACAGGAATTTTACTATACCTGAGGTAAAAGGAGCTTTGTCAAGGACACATTGATCGAGCCCAGGCTCTGACACAATTAGTTATGGTATGAAAAACCATCTGTCTTGTACGTCATTGGCTATCCTTCTGCTTCTCTTTAACAGAATTTGGAAAGAGAAAATTTTCCTAAATACGTGGAGGAAGGTTATTATTATACCAATTGCTAAATTGGGTAAGGAACTCTTCAAATTACCTGCTGTTCATGCGATGCGTGCGTTGTTATACAACAATTTCAAATTAACTAGAAGTGGACTGTACTAAATATTTTATTCGACAACGTTAATCAAATGCGTGCCATCTTTCAAGCGATGACTTACTACTAACAACAACAGCAATAAAAAAAAACTGAGTAAGCGTTTACAGGGTTGCTGTAATGAACATCTGCGCCATGCAAAGCGCAAAGAAGAGAAAAAATGACGTAATCTTACAGTTAAATAGTCTTAATGACTTAACACCTGCCGATCGCGCTTACTAGTTGTATCTGCAAACTACTTGAAAAAATGGTAAACAACCGCCTTGTCTACTATCTAGAGAAAAATAAGATTATCTCTTCCTATCTGTGTGGTTTCCGCAAGGGAAGATCTCTAGATAACATTCTTATTTTGGAAACATCAATACGAAAAGTCTTTGTACAAAGAAAGCACATGGTGTCTGTATTTTTCGATACGGAGAAGGCCTACGATAGTGCCTGGAGATATGGAACACTGCGAGGCCTTAACAATAATGGTTTGCCCTGTAACATGCCAGTCTTCATACAGAATTTTTTTAAGTCTAGAACATTCCAAGTGAGGATTGGAACCTCCTTGTCAGACGTGTTCTGTCAAGAAGGTGTGCCTCAAGGTAGTGTCCTTAGTGTCACTCTATTCATCCTTAAAATAAACTCAATTTTAAAAGAGCTTCTTCCTTTGGTATTTTGTATGTTGATGATCTACAGGTAAGTTGCCAAGGGGCAGATATAAGATATGTCGAGAGACAACTACAAATCGCAATTTCAGGATTGTTATCTGGTCAGCTCAGAATGGGTTCAAATTCTCAAGTCAGAAGACTGTTCGTATCCGCTTTTGCAGAAGGTGTAATCTCCACCCTCAGGCAGAGTTTGCATCTTAATGGCTCTGATTCCTGTTGAATCTGAAGTAAAATTTTTAGGAGTTCTGTTAGGCAGAAAACTTACATTTGTTCCACATGTGCTTCACTTAAGGATGAAATGCTTTAAAACCCTGAACCTCCTAAATGTATTGTCGAACACCTCCTGGGGGCTGATCGCTGCGCTATACTCCGTGTTTACGGAGCACTGGTGCGCTCAAAACTGGACTATGGCTCAGTGGTTTATGGTTCGGCACCGTCTTGTGTGTTCATAGTTTCGTTGTCGAAACTTGATCCTGTCACCACCAGGCTCTTCGGATATATTCTGGGGCATTTAGGACGTTACCCGTCCAGAATCTATATGTTGACTTATTTGAACGATCTGTTCAGTTAAGGCGTGAGCAGTTGTCTCTTAGTCATTATTTTAATATACAACCATAACCAGTATATCCTGGCAACACAACTTTGTACGGTGACTTGTTTGAAGCACTACCATCTTGCGTGCCTTCTTTCCTCCTAAGCTTCCGGTCATTGATTGAAGACCATCTTCTAATTAACTTGAAGACCTAGACAGTAAAGCATTTTGGCATTACACCTTGGGAAAATGCACAAATCCTGCTGCTTAATATTTTCCATTATTTGAATAAAAGCAATACGAACGACATCATATATAAGCAAATTTTACTAGAGCATAGACATAAGTATTGCGGCTACATTCCCATATACATTGACGGCTCAAAAGTAGCCAATCATGTTAGATCCTCTTTTGTAACAGTAAGTCGTAAAGAAGGAAAACAGTTGCGTGAGGCTTGCTTGGTGCTTACTGCTGAGTTGACTGCTGTGTACTATACCCTCTCATACATATTAAAGCTAAGTCAGAAAAAAATTATTTATTCCGACTCGTATAATGCACTAAACACTCCGGAAGCATTTACTGATACCCGGAATTCTCTAAATGTTGAATTTTTAAAATTGCATTTAACTATTCGAGGATATCGGATTCTTTACTGCTGTGTGCCCAGACACATAGGTATCAAGGAAAACGAACTGGCATATGTTACTGCAAAATCTGCTGTAAGTTTCTCCGCTAGGTCTGTTCCAGTTAGAGACATTATCATGGCCATCAAAAAAAGATCACAAATAAATGGCAGCAACATTGAAACTTTCAAGTAAATAACGTTACAAAGCATCAAGGATAAAGAAGAATATTGGGAGGCTGCTGGAAACCGGAGGGAGGATGTAATTTTAACTCACCTTAGAATTGCGCATTGTCGTATTGCCCATAATCATCTTTTAAAATGCGAAAGCGAACCTATCTGTCCCAACTGTAATGCTGTTTTAACAGTTCATCACTTTTTAACTCAGTGCCCTGATATTAACAGCATTTTAACAGCTCTAACTTTCCTCTTAGTAATTGGAAAAAGAGGTCAACACAAACTTATTTCATTACCTGCAAGAGTCACGTTTTTATCATATAATCTGAATCATGTTTTAGAATATTCCTCTGTATTTTAACACTCTGGGTTTTAATATGCGTCATCTTCACATCTATCATCATCTCATTGTGATAACCTTTTATTGCAATGTATCTCATTTTATGTCCTGGTATTTATTATTATTAACATTTATTATTTTATGTTACTTGTATTTAAAAATATCTGACACGTGTCTGGCACAAATAACCTTTCAAGTTGTGTGCCAAAACTGAAACAAACAAAAGACTGATGCCCACCAAAATAATATGCCAATATTCTGTAATTGTTTTGACCTAAATTAGACTATTCAATAACACTTTTCCATACCTACAGGTTTTCCTTCAAATAGTATTGAAGAATAATATTTTTTGAGATTTTAGTTTCATAAGTAAGTTGTCAGATGTAATTTTCTTCCTTGAAATGGAAACAATTTATTTAGAATACGTCCTTTAATATGTTCTTAATCGAGCTTACATGAATGCATACAACATGATATAATCGAGATTACATGAATGTATACAACAATAGTTCTATAACTATATATAAGAAAATTCAAGAGAGTTCGCAGATTGAGTGGTAAAGACTGAAAACACACAATTCTATTGAAACACTTTATAAAATTATTACATTGGAGAGAATCTGAAAGTAGATTACAGAACACAACACTGCATCAATGCAAAATAAATGCAGGTCAGGTTGAGTTAAAGGGTGTAATGCACCGAAAGAACATCATACACGAAACTGGTAAAGCCTCGGACACACTAACCATGTGGCCCCTTCAGGGGTCCCCAGCTGGCTGTTTAGTCATAAATTTAAAAACCTTACAAAAAAGGTTACTAGAAGTTTACAAGACGGTTATAGTAAGGTTACAAGAAGATTACAAGACGATTACAAAGGTTACAAGAAGTTTACAAAAGGGTTATAGTAAGGTTACAAGAAGATTACAAACAAGGTCACTAAGATTACAAGAAGACTACAAAGGTTACAAGAAGTTTACAAAAACTCTTACAAGAAGTTTGTCATGAAATCACTGAAGGCATATACTAAGGTTACAAAAAGATTACAAACAAGGTTACTGAGATTACAAGAAGACTACAAAGGTTACAAGAAGTTTGTCATGAAATCACCGAAGGCACATGAGAATAGTTTATGGGTGACACAGTTGAGTCCTTACACAAAAAATATGCACTATTTATTACTAGTACAGAAACACGTAATATAGATCAACAACATAAAAATGCATTTCACTGGAAGCCATGGAAGAGCTCCATCCCTCCTCAGGTTGCCCATGGTAAATTTTAGTTTTCTAAATTCTAGACATCCTAAACTCCAAAAATTACTCGAATTATATGTTTTGGGGGTGTTGAGTAATGTAGTAAAGAACAGGCATTTTTTAAAGAAAATTATATGTGTTGCAGCTTACATAAATGTCACTCCTACTATTTTCACGGCTTACCACTGATTGAGAGGATAAGATCACTTCTCACTAGTCATACTACCCAGTTTCAAATTCTGAAACTCAGACTGACTGCACGGGCATTCTCATAGATTTCTCACTCTGTAACGTAAATATAAGCCAGTTTCCTTAAAACATCCTCCACGAAGTTATCTCTCCAATAGGCAGGTAATCTTTCGCCTTCGAGGGATGGAAGAGCTCCATCCCTCCTCAGGTTGCCCATGGTAAATTTCATTTTTCTAAATTCTAGACATCCTAAACTCAAAAAATTACTCGAATTATATGTTTTGGGGGTGTTGAGTAATGTAGTAAAGAACAGGCATTTTTTAAAGAAAATTATATGTGTTGCAGCTTACATAAATGTCACTCCTACTATTTTCACGACTTACCACTGATTGAGAGGATAAGATCACTTCTCACTAGTCATACTACCCTGTTTCAAATTCTGAAACTCAGACTGACTGCACGGGCATTCTCATAGATTTCTCACTCTGTAACGTAAATATGAGCCAGTTTCCTTAAATCATCCTCCACGAAGCTATCTCTCCAATAGGCAGGTAATCTTTCGCCTTAGTGGAGTTTTCTAATTTTAACTAACTCTCAATTTAGCTGAAGAATTCTATGAGTAGTAAGTTCCAAAGTATTTCATCAAGTGCAAAGTTTTTGTTGAAAAGTCAATTTGACTAACGCCGTTATTGCACCTTTTTGAGGTTTTCTAGTGTTTTCGATGTTCTTATGATTAAATTCACTCGTTCGCTATTTTCAGTCCCAAACAGTATAAGCTTTCAATACATTGCTTTATGTTAATATTTAATTTTTGTTTGAAATTTTAAAATGTATCGGATAATGAATTCCTTTGTTTTGATCTTTGGCAGATATACTATTACCTGGATGAAGATAATGCTTGGGCTTTAAACATTAAAGAGTTGAAACGTGCCATTGCGGAATCAAGAAACGTGTGTCAGCCTAGAGTTTTAGTTGTCATCAATCCAGGAAATCCAACTGGTTAGAGATACAAAACTTAATTGCTATTTATAACATCTTAAACCAAATGGTGAGACCTAGAGTTAGATGTTAATGATATATAAGATTATATCCATTCTGTAGTCTTATATATTATTAAAAGTGTTTTAAGTATACTACAGTCTGTAAAAGTGCACCCAGTGTGCTTTCTACAGAGAGCGAACTGGAAACATATTTCAAAATGATTCACATTTCTAAATGTAACTGGAGCATAAGATTTATCAAAATCTACAAATTATCCTGAAAATATTGGCAGAAAGAATACTATTCCATGTTTGGCTTCATAAAATCACCGTTCAAATTCTGTCAGGTATGTCTAGCCTTTTCGCCAAATAAATCGTCCAAAGCAAAATAAATAAATAAATAAATAAAAAATATGAAATGTTTCAGATTTTAAATTACGTCCAAAGGGAATGCCCCTTTGGAAACTTTGTGTGAAGGGAATGCCCCTTTGGACACTTTTTTAACACTTTGTGTGTTACATTTATTTATTAAATATCACGTTCTTCGCACCTAAGCTATAAAATTCAGTTCAACAGTAATATCGCAAAATAGTTTTAAATTGAGCATATCCCTTAGAATTTCCGATACAGAGACTCATGCGCTGGAGATAAAAATGTTTTTTTCTGTACAACGTTTCCATTGCTCGCTTTGAAATCCTTGAGTTTGTTAATCAAATATTCCTTAAAGTTTTACAAAATAGGAATTCGATAATAAAGCAAATTCCAAATTTCAAAGTTGATCTTCCACATGCCCATATTCATAGGAGGATTACATTATTCAAACTGACCTTTTTTTAATCACATTGCGAGAAATATACATAGTGTTGCGTGTGTATAGGTTCGTTATTAATTGAATGCATAAGTCCAATGAAAAGTGAATGAGATTTACTATTATCACAAATAAATAAAACAAAATGCTTTAATTTCCTCAGATGTTCGTACAGTATTACAATATCTCACAGTAGTTATCTTTTAACAACTCAACTGTTCAACAGAACTTAATTTAAAACAGCTAGAAAAAGTTAATCCGCAAAATTCGCTACAGTCAACAAGAGCAGTTTTCTAAACAAACTCTTAAAACAACAACTAACTAAATTGAGAGGTTTTCCTCCTTTTCCTAAGATATTTAAATCACATGCGAGATTGTTCTAGAAATTTCTTGAAATCAAAAAGAGATATTTATTTATTAAATATTAAATGCACGTGTTCTTGTATTTTTTAATTTTTCCTGGTTCGCTTTCTTTTTTACTTCCTTGTACGAAGTAAAAAGGAAGTATTGTAATCGCGAAAAGCTTCAGCTTTCAACGAAAATATCCACTTTGACCGCTTTCGAATGCAATTTAACGATGCTTTTGCGTGATATCTATACGTAAGGACAGAATAAAAGACTCTTTCTTCGCACTTAAACCACAAAATTCAGCTCAATAGCTATATCGCAAAATAGTTTTAAAATGAGCATATCTTTAGAATTTCCGATACGAAGACTCGCGCGCTGAAGATAAAAAAGTTTTTTATGTACAACGTTGTCATTGCTCGCTTTGAAATCCTTGAGTTTGTTAATCGAAAATTCGTTAAAGTTTTACAAAATATGAAATCGATAATAAAACAAATTCCAAATTTCAAACTTGCGCTTCCGCATGCCCATATTCATAGGAGGATTACGTCATTCAAAACTCGATGGCTCTATGTACCGTTATTTTGTCACAATGCGATAAATATGCATACATTTATGCAGATTTTTCATTATTTAATTTCTCAAATATAATGCAAGATTCTAACATTTTGTGGCAACAGTTTGAAAAGTCAAATGGACATTTATAGCGAGCCTACGCAAATCGCAAAACGAAAACAATAGTCCTTCAGGGACAAAGCCCCTTTGGACTAAAAAGTCATTAATTTCTAATAATCGGACTTTGGCCACACAAGTCAACACACAAAATAGTCAGCCAATTCTCAGACTGGGCGCACTTGGGACTTTTCCCATAATAATGTATGTATTACAAAATAAAAAATGAAGCGTGTCTTTTAATTGCTCAAGTCTCCCTTAATTAAGAATTCTCTGAATCAACTCAAAGAAAAATTCTCACATTAGATATACAGAAGTCAAATTTTTACGTGTTTAAAATTGACATTAAATTTTTATTTATTTACATTCACAGAATTTAAGTGGTGCAGGAAGAGAGTGTCAAAGTGAGCATTAATAAAAGTGAATCTCTAATGAATGAAATGTATCTTTTACAGGCTCTGTTCTCACCAAAGAAAATATAGAAGAAATTATCAGATTTGCATATGAAGAAAGATTATTTCTTATGGCTGATGAGGTAAGATGTAATGGCCTTCCCTAATAATTTTTATAAATTATATGATAGTGTTTTCAAGTTGTGTGATCTTAAACATATACAAAAACTGCTGTAAATCGCTAATGCTCAATTAAAGATTTCACGTGACTCCGAATCATAATATTTATAATCTAAAGACTGATACTATCAAAACATTCTTACCAAAATGTTCAGTGATTACACATTTCTTTGCAGTTTTTGACAATGTATAATTTTTGGTTTAAACAAATTATTTGACACATCCTTTAACCTTAACAGTGGAGATTTTCAAGATTGCATGACAGCCATTTGATGTCCATTTTTATTTTGTATGTTGTAATGCTGAGAATACTTACTAGCATCATATCAGTACTCTGATTCTGCACACACACTGGACAGGAAGCTCATTATAACTATGATTTGTTTTCGGAGATGGATGTTCTTGATAGCGTATCTAATAAAGAAAGTCACTTCACTCTCTGAATTCGGTACTTTTAGATGATGTTCAGCTGTAAGGGGGCATTTGAATATATAATGGTCGGGACTGCCTCTTTCTCCACATGCACATTGATCTGAAGTTGCTAGTTTCCTTGCATAGAAGTACGTGGGAAAAGGACCATGCCCTGATAAGAACCACGTTATTTCTCTAGTTATTAAACTGGGAGCTGTGCCTACTTTTGGGAACAACTGATAAGTCCTTCTTCCTTGTTCGCCGGTGTCCCACCAGTTCTGCCTTTCAGCTTAAATTTGATGGTTAAGATTTTTTTAAGGAGCTAGCCAGGCCATGATACTTATAAATTTTGTGCATTTTGACCCCTAGCTGCTTCTTTGGCTAGGATGTCAGCCTCCACGTTGCCTTTTGTCCCTGCATGTGCCTTCAGCCAAGTGGCAAAGAAGTGTTGATTTTGTGATGCTGAAGTTCTTTCTGTAATCTCGTGGATTAATTTTGATCGGTGGCGCGGGTTTGCGATGTCATGCATCGCTGAAACACTGTCTGTAAAGATATGTGCTGCTTTTAGGGAGTTTGTGATGCTGTATTTTATTGCTTCATGGAGCACTACTTATTCCGCTCGGAATACACTATTTTGTTGATCTAGGTAGAACTTCTGTTCTGTTGTCGAATTGGGATCTAGGTAGATTTTGATTGCGCTGCCTTTACCTTCTTCTAGGCCGGAACCGTCTGTAAAGAGTTGGGGGAATTTCTTTTCGCTTACTTCTTTCTTTTCTTCTTTCTTTTTTAATGTGATATTATTTTTCTTTCCTGCGTGGTGTTCATATGGGTGTGCCGGTGTCTCGTAATTCTCTGCTAAAAGTTCTAATGATTTGTAATGGCTCTTCTTTTGTAGTTGTAGTTTCGTAGTTGTTGTCTTATGGAATTCTTGTTCAGCGCGTATAAAAAGTGGAGTGCTGTTAGCGATTTGGAAGAGCGCCGCATTTGATGTTCTGTAGCTTTCTGTATAGTTAAGAAGGAAGAGTCGCTGGATTGTATGAAGCTTTTTTTGCTTTCTTTTTGTCATTGGTTATGCCCATATGGCTACTCCGTATAGAGCAATCTTCTCGTTTACTGTATGGTAGATGAGGTGTTGGATTGGTCTGCTCATTCCCCATCGTATCCCGTTCATATGCAGTTAGACATAATGTAGGAGTGTCGGAGGAGTATAAAGATCGCTGGCGGTGTAAGCTAAGCGTTTTTGTTAAGCTATTTCACATCATACTCGTATATCAGTTTAAACAACGTTAAGGTTTGCTGCCTAAGTGTGAAACGTTGAACAGTCAATCTGTGAGATGACTCTGAATGATTTTACCCCAAGCCGAATCATTGGAAAGATTGAGGAAGGTCGAAGGGTGACAAGTGTGGCTGCGGAGTTCGAAATTCCAGAGAGCATCGTCTCACGACCTTGGAGAGCATTTCACACTACAAAATCAGCTGTCCGACGGTTCAGCAGTGGTCGTCCAAGAGCAACCGCAGCATCAGATGACCGTTATAATGCCCTACAGGCAAGAATAAATAGGCGCAAATGGCAGGAAAATTCTCAGGATACATGGAACAGGTGACTGGACAATCGATATCGTTCAGAAGTCAAACAACAGAAATCAGCGTTATATTTTCAAATTTTTCTAACGCTGATAACTAGTTGTTTGACTTCTGAATTAGTATTTGTTCGGCGTGTTATTGTGTCTTAAATCGATATCGTGTTTTACCGTGGCCAGGAGGCTGGACATTGGTGGTATGTTTGCATGATGACCTGTACTGTGTATACCATTGACACTTGCTCATCGGAGAAGGTGTTTTCTGTGGTGCAGTGAACATCAGAATTGGACGGATAATCAATGGGGTTGAGTACTCTTTAAGGATGAGAGCAGATTTAGTCTGAGTAACGATTCTAGACGCTACACATCTGGAAAGAGCGGGGACCAAGCAATAATCTCTCCTACATCATCAAAAGGGGACTGCTTTGGAGGTTGCGGAGTTCTCATTTGCAGAGTCATCATGTTTGGTAACTGTACCGACCTTCACCTCTTCCAAGAAGGTTCAGTCACCGGGGTCCACTATTGTAACGAGGTTCTCTTACCCAACGTACTTCTTTTTAGTGGTTCTATGGGTCCTCAGTTCCTCTTCACGGACAAGAATGCTCCACCTCAACAGTTGCTGTCGAAGAACTGTTGGATTAAACACATGGACTGGCCGGCAAGGTCCCCGGATCTGGATTCCATCGAGCATGTGTGGGACTTTCTAGGGAGACGCGTGGAAGCACTTACCTTATCGTCAAGAACGATTCCGAAGCTGCGATTGGCGCTATAACAGGAATGGGCAGCAATGCCTCAACAGCTCATTACAACCTCATACTTAGCATGGACAAACAATGTGAAGCCTGCACAGCAGTCTGGGGAGATCATATCCACTACTAAAGGCTGGATGTTTCTTGCTGGACACGTGTCACATAGATGTTTCGGCTTTCTGTTGTGTTGTGCTCCATGCTACTTTTTCAATAAAGTTCCTTTTCATCCTTTTGATTTCTTTTTTGGAGGGAAGTTTGGCTTACATTTTCCTTGTTCTTCGTCTTGGGGATCTTATGGTATTAGTTTATTGATTTAGAAAGCTTTTGCACAATGTTACATTGAAAAAACAGTCTCGTCCTTAATTTTTGAACACCAGTGTATATTTGATAATCTTCAAGACATATGTCATAATCTTCAAGATATACATATTATACACATATTAGACAAACATTCTGCATACATATTCTTCAAGCTTAAAGCTAGCTCTTAAGTACATAATGAAAATACAAAGAACAGATTCAGATATCATTTCCTAAAAAATGGACCTTTCTTTGAGGAATTATTTTTCCATATCATGTTCCCATCTATTTCTGATGTATATTTTAAGTATCAAATCGTACTTAAGTTCATACATTTCTAAAGTTCTTAACACTTATCTTGCATTTGGACTCTGCTAAAAAGTTCCATCTGTGATTGATATATTTCAGAATGTTGGAATCGATGTGCAAATCTTAAAATTAGCTATTTAGTGTATCGGTTTGTTTTGAAGTTTATACTGTCTTTTTCTAAAAATTCCTTAAAATGAGAATAATACATTCATTTATAAATTAATTTTAAAAGGCTTCATTTGAAAAGGATAGAAATTAGAATAGTCGATTACCGTCTCAGATGGAGAAATATCACCGAACAAGAATTTAAGAAGCTGAAAAATGATAGTTAATCAGAATTTAGAAGTATTAATTTACTGGTAGCCACTATAAATACAGAAATTTCTCATCGTCTCTCTGGGAAACAGTAATGATTGAAAAAAAACATAATGAAGGACTCAGCTTTTTTTGTCGTTTACAGTAATTTTAATTACTTTATTCTCGCGTGTATAAGCCGTACCTTGGATTTTTACTTCTAATTTATAAACTTCTTGAGGATAAGTCACAGATAGCTTATCCCCTCCCTACAGTACTTCTTACGTTTTAGAGGAATGAAAGCACAGCTTGACGAGCTTCTTCATAAGATTAGAAACCTATCATATCAACAGTCACACCATAACGAGAACTGCTTTTTCTTATTCACATATGTATCTTCCAGTTGTGGATCCTTAGCTGCATTTCCACGAAATGTCTTTCTCTCACCGCTGGTTCCTTGAAGTTCATTCTTCGGCCTTCTTTTACCATCACACTATAAGGTAATTTCTCCCTCCTTTCTACATGCTTTTATGGTGTAACGGTAGCACACTCGACGCGTATTCGAGAGGTCCAGGTTCGAGTCCCGATGATAGCATAGCTCATTTTTTCACGTCTCCCGTATCAAGAAAACCTAATGACTCTACAGCGTATTGGATTCGTCTATATCAGAAGGATCTGCTGAAACAGGTCAGCGTTTCCCTTAGGGAAACGGGTAACGTGCAGTTTAAAATGTGCCTCTATCTAAATCTAATAAAGCTTGTTTCTCTGACATTTTCCTTCAAACGGCCAATAATCACAACTAGACTGTAGAATTCAATCTAATATTCACCCAACAAGCATGGATTTTGAACTCAATCGTTAAATACATGCTGCTGTCTTGCCTCATGTTTATATGTACCTATCTCTAATCATTTGCGTTTATAAGCCATACCCCTGATTTTCTTCTGCTTTTTTGTGAAAAAAAGAGCATTTTGTACACAGAAGAATACGATATGCATATTTACTTTTTTAAATATAATATGACCAAAATTTTTAGACACTATTGATTTCTTAAACTGAAATCAATAGTGTCTATGCCAGATCGTTCAAAAAACATATCATCAGCTACTGTATAATTAGCACTAAAATACTCTTGAACAGTACCTAAATTTAACTTTTTTAATACTTTGTTTAACTATAATTTTATTTTCCAGAAATATAATGTAAGTAAATTATAGGTTTTCTACGAGGGATGTTTTCAAAGTTCTAGGTATTAAGGTATATTTTTTTACCTTGTCAGTTTTCATCAGTATTGCAATTTAATTAAGTGTAATTGCCATTTAATTGAATACACTTATTCCAACGGAAAGTTAATTTTTAAGCCGTCCTCAAAAAACACTTCCTGTGTCTCCTTAGTCCACCTAATTATGACATGGTTAAACCCTCTGATCGAGCACTCTATTAAAGTGCTTTTCAAATGTGAAAACGTAATACTCTGTGCAGATGCTGAGCACTGAATCTTCGCAGTTTCAGGAGTTTTTATACCATTTTTCCACAAAAAAAAAAAAACTTACTTGCTCTACGCATATTCACCTAATCAACTGAATCGGGTCAAACCAGTGGTTCTCAGTATGTTTTGTCCCATGCACCCCTTTCACAATTGCTAGGCAATCATTCTCCCTTCGCTTTCCAAAACCCAAGAAATACGTATATATTGATTTGAATTTAGATTATTTTTCAATTTGTTTTGTAAATTAAACAAGAAAAAGTATAGACATGTTGATAAATACCAAAACTTGTATAAAAGTAGATTTTTATAGTTTCAGTTTATGAAATGAAAAGTCTAACTGCATTACCCTATAAACAATGAAATTCTCCCCAAAAGGAAAATTCCCTTCTAGTTGAGAACCCCTGGATTAAACAATATTGTATGGGATAGCTGTATGAATATCAATATTTGGCTCTGGCCTGTAGCGTTGCCTGTAAATTCTAAGAACTGAACTCTAGCTTAATTCTTGGAACTCTAGAAACACCCTACGTAACTGAAGAATTATCAAGTATTTAATAAAGATTAACGAAACTGAAGCACATATTTTTATTTTAATAATTATATGTTTTAATTATATTAAATATATATTTCTTATATTCCTTAATGTTATTGTGATAGAAATTAATGTATGTATGTACATTAAAACAATGAAGTTTGGAATGCAATTTAGATTATGATTAAAATATAAGTTCACCTAGAAATAATATAAATGCTATTTTATTTTGTTATAGGTTTATCAAGACAATATATATGCCGATCGCATGAAGTTTCACTCATTCAAAAAAATATTAATGGAATTAGGAGAATCTTACAAAAGTATGGAATTAGCTTCTTTTATGTCTGCATCGAAAGGATATATGGGCGAGTAAGATATCTGATTTCAGTATGCTTTCATACGTTTATAGAATCTGTTTTCTTTTTTAATACAATTTTTTAATTTCTTAAAACTTCATGTGAAAATGCTTTTTCAAATTTTAACCTTCTTTACTTTGCCAAAAAATGTGTCAGAGGGTACAACCTGTGTAATTCAAATAATTGTAAAATTTTGTGGAACTTTTTGTATGAGGTTCATTTTTCAAATACCTCTTGAGAAGATTTATCTTGAAAGTTTCTCGATTTCTCACCACAAATATAATGACGTGAAATTTAAATAAATATATAGTAGATTTTATGTGTATGAAAAATAGCAGATGTTATATATATGAGAAAAAATGTAATAGAAATATGTTTTATTTTGTGCAAAGTTAAACCTTGGTAGTCCTATTAGTGAGAAAGGCGACAAGAAGCTTTTCCCAGAAGGTTTCCTAAGCGAAAGAGAACTGGCAGTACAGTAGTTTATCTGTAGCGTCATGAAATATTGGGGGCTTGTTAGGAAATGAAACTTAAGCTGAAAATGCTATTCAGAAAGTGTTCTTATTGCTGCGGTATGCGTCGTTAGTCTGATAAGCCCATTAGAAGGTAAAGAAATATAAGCTGAAATGCAAAATAATTAGTGATAAAAAATATGTCATGTTGATCATGTCAATGTCAGCATGTTGATTCTTGAGGGAATATATGTGAATATATAAGCTAATAGTACAATAGAATAATGTCTGGCCTAAACTTCATATAGCTCGAGTTTCACAAATACAACTTGAATCTTTACTTTATTCTTCCTTTATTTTTATAGTTTAATAAACTAGGTGAGTGCTAAGTAAAAATCAAGAGTAGGAATAATACACATAATTAGGTAATTAGGAATATACATAATTAGGTCATGTTTTACCTTAGGAAATGTTCATATATATTATTTGTGTGGTTAGGAGTGTGTTTAAAATTTCGAAACACTTCAACATTAGTCAAGATAGAGATACGGAAACATCATATACATGGCGTTTTCATAATTTATTTAGGAAACTTAAATGAAAAATAAACTACACCACATGTTAAATTTTGTCAACCACACTCTTAGTTAATTCAATTAATTTCCGAATAAATAGATCTTATTTATAGATTTAACAGATTTCCTGGTGTTCTTATTTATGCCGCCGGAATAATGAGTGTACTTGATTGCTGTCTTGAAACTAGATCAGATTTTTCACAATTGCTTCAACTATCGTTTAATGATTGTTCATTCGGAAGTTACTTGTTGATCACTGACCTAAGGAACCTCTTAGATACATATAGGTAACTTGGGTCCCTATAGATCACTTTTGTGTTAAGACCAACATTATGTGAGTGCTGTATTGTGCATTTTCAAACTAAGGATTACAAAACTAAGCGTTTGCTATAGCTTTTATTACCAGTAGCATGCAAGTATGTTTATCTTACTATAAAAGCATTGCTACATCTACATTTCTGGATTTTTCTCATAGCCATTCCTTCGACACTGAAAATGATTGCAATATTCCACCTTCATGTGCCACTTAGAATTCAATGGGAGCTCAATTTTATCAATCGCATACGACACTTGAGAAAGAAATTTAAACGAGTAGTAATATAAAGTTCGGTCTGTAGAACTACAGATTATTGTTAAGCTTCTAGTGAGTAGAACTCGCTGTCCCAAATTTTAATTAAGTATTGCAGACGATATGCGGAACAGTGTCTGTTACACATAATTAGGTAGAACGTGCTGCCAATACGTTCGTAATAATCCAGATTCAGCCACCAGTATCTATGAGACTGATATCCAACACTTTCTGAAAAACATTTGAAAAAAAGCCTAAGAAGTAGAAGTGCTCTATTGAAGCCCTACTGAAGGTTGCCAGAGAAAAGCAAAAAAATAAATAAATAAAATTTTTAAGAGTTTCTTGAAAAAAATCTGAAAGGTTTCAGATTTTAAATTACGTCCAAAGGAGCGCTCTTTTAACGTTTTCTGTGTTACATTTATTTATTAAATATCATGTTCTTCGCACTTAAACCATAAAATTCTGTTCAACAGCAATATCTCAAAATAATTTTAAAATGAGGATATCTTTAGAATTTCCGATACACAGTCTCGTGCAGATAAAAATGCTTGTTCTGTACAATGTTGCCATTGCTCGCTTTGAAATCCTTGAATTTGTTAATTAAAAATTCGTTTTACAGAATATAAAATTGATAATAAAACAAATTCCAAATTAGGGCTACCAGATGCCCATATTCGGTGAAAGATTACGTTATTCAAAATTTGATGGCTCTAGGTACCGTTGTTTTATCAAAATGTGAGAAACATACATAAATTTGTTATTTAATTCTTGAAATATAATACAGGGCGATAATATTTGGTGGCGACAATTTGAAAAGTGAAACAACACAGAAAGTTAATCGGTGCAAAATGCCAAAACAAAATTAATAGTCCTTTTGGGCAAATTGCCCCTTTCGACTAATAATAAAATAATTCAAATTCAAATTCAAAAAATGGAAAGGGATGAATTAATTTAATAATTAATTAATTAATAATTTAATCAATTATTAATTTAATAATTTAATCAATTATTAAATTAATGATAAAATACTTAATAAACCAAAATACCAGACATCGTTTTATTTCAGACTCGGAAAGGAATTACAATTTCACTCAAAAACAAAGAAACAACTCAGCCGGACTACGGTTGAATTTAAGCTCTGATTGTGCAATTATAATGTATTATTTCAAGGGATGGTCGAAGAAACAATTTTTCTTCTCCGAGGACACCATTGACAAAAGGTAAATCGATTGAAGCGGCCACTACAGAAAATGTTAGAAACAGTATTGAGGGCATGCAAGGAAATTTTAAAGGAGATGAGCAGATATGAAAACAAAAAAAGATTCTAACACTTGCTAACCACGATAGCTTGCTGTTATAACTATAGCTCTGAAGCAGAACATTGGCTGGGTAAAAGAAATTTTCTCTAAATCCGTGGTTCGATCTGTAAGCTGAGAACAAGTGTAAGATTCAGAACAAGGGACGGTGTTCGTGTTCTCCATCCCCTTATTTCATTACATCATTCCAAAAAGTCTGCAAGTACTCTTTTGCGTGAGAAATCGCAAACGTTGGACGTGCATGATCAGGATGATATCTAGTAGTACTTTCGGGAACGCAAAATTTATCCGCTTCCATAAAATTACTTCATTTCCTCGATAATAATCCTTTGACATATATAGGAGAAGGTTTCTCCTTAAAAGTCTCAACTTCCGTCAAAAATCTGTTTCTCGCCGAAAGACTAGCATACATTCAGAAGTAAGAATTGATTTTTAAGACTTACTTACTACTAAAATAAACCTTCCGCTATCAAAAGAATTTCCTACTGAGACTGTGGTTTAGTTACAGAAAAGAAGTACAGGGAACTCGTTAATTAGGTCTCCGATGTGCTCTGACTAGAATTATGATTTACGTCAAAAACTGTGAAGTACTGGAGCCAAACTTCGGCCCAGTTTAAGCTGTGGTGCATATCTAAGTAAATACCTTCACTGAGGAAGGGATAAAATAGTTTCCAGAACTTTATGAATACACACCACAACATAAGAGAAATAGCTTCGAATAATGACATGTTTTCCAAGGTTACAGTTCGCAAAGGTTACAGTTCAGTCCGGGTCATGTTCGAATGTCTTTATGCATTATCCTTATACGATCAATCATCTGATTTTATTATTTAAATATAGTTTAACTTAAGCTGTAAATTGTGCTTTACCAGGTGTGGATTACGTGGCGGTTACTGCGAACTAATAAATGTAGATCCTGAAGTGAAAAAAATGTTCTTGAAATGTATTTCAGCGCGTGTGTGCAGCAGTGTCTTAGGACAAGTAAGTTAGAAGTTTTTGAGATATACTAGAGTATCCAAAATTCTTTTTCTGTGTAACAGACTTAGAATTTCATTCTTTATTTCAGGCTGCAATGGATTGTGTTGTCAACCCTCCTCGGGAAAATGAACCCTCATATGATCTCTTTATGAAGGTTAGTGTCAAATTAATCTCATTCTTAATTACCTGTTTTTATTATCGTACTTCCTGCAATAAAATTTTGCCATGAAATGTAAAAGTACGTATTTAAACGCTCTAGCATGTTATGCTTTTAATATTTTGAAACTTTATTCATGTTATTAGTAAATATCATAATGCAGATACTTGAACAGCGTTACGTATATATTGGGGGTCTGTTTAAAACAGACTTTGGCATTAAATATAGCATTCTTTCGGGGATCTTACAATGATTTCTTTCCTCATTTGTATGAGCAAAATTTGTCTAATGGATTATAGACAAAAAAGTAATTTTATCGTTGGGAAAAAGTGCAAAATTCGCGAATCGGTAGTGGAATAATAAGCAAATATTTCTCGGCCTGGGATTTACATTAACATTTCGCGAAAATTTACGCAATCGAAGATTTATATTAGCATTTCGGATGAGGAGTTTGCATATGTGCCTAATTAAAAAAATAACAAATTTTTTGCTGAATTTATATTTATAAAGCATTCAAATTCGGTAAACGCATTCAACTCTATTGCTTTTCGACCGATGTTTCCATGCATTAAATTTTCTGTATATAGGTTTCTTCCATTAAATAACACATTTATAAAAAGGTATTCAGAGCTCCCGAGATGAATTTCGGCGTTTAACGGTTGCGTATATTTGATTCTAATGAACTCATGACATCGTTGCATATAAAATTATTAATACCTAATTGCATTCATGATTAAAATGTTATTTATCTTACCCCAAACAAAATTTTTAATACTTTGGTTGGTTATAACAAACATTCTAAGTATTGATAAGTACACATATATTATTAAGACACTTAACAGATATGCTGATAGTAATCATATATTACATTAGTCGCAAGTATTGAAAGATAAATACCACCCATGCGAAGCTGATTTGCAAGTCTTAATTTTTGTAATTAATAGTGAAATTTACTTATTTGATGCAATTTCACGGAAGGCATATTCTTACTACATATTATGTTAGCGGAACTGTGTAAAATGCCGGCATTCTATAGAATACTTACATATTTTACAGAATACCTGACATTTCTAGGCAAAGTGAAATATGGGCATTCTAATGATTGAACAAATGTTATTTAGGCAAATTATGAAAACAGGTCTTGATAAGACTTGTTTAAAAAACTTTCCTTAATCAAAAATGCAAATGTTATTTCAAAAAATAATGAAAGAATGCTATTAAAAATCTTTTACAGAAAATACGTTAAGAAAAATAAATGTGTTTGCGTAAGTAAAAATAAAATACGTAAGTCAAGATGAAACTTTTATCAAAATTACTTTAAGAAAAATTAAACAGAAAACAAAATTTATACACTTCTTATTAAAGCAACGTATGGAAATGTAAAAAATGTATGAAATTATGTAATGAACGCATTAAATGTATGGCCTTCCAAACACATTGAAGATGTATTCCACACTTTGCCCACTTATCATTGGGCATTTTATAGAACGCCTAGGAAATATGTGAAATGTTAGTCGTTTCATATACTGGCCAGCCAATTTTCGGCATTGTATAAAATGCCTACGTATTCTACATATTTCCAGTAATATATATGTATGTCCAAAACCTTAAAAACAGATACCAGCGATTGACTCAGAAAACCGATTACCAGTTTCAGACTGAATGTCGATGAAATGAATCAGGATGCATCATAAAGTTGTGAGTAATTGTTCTTGAAATAAAAATTCTGCGGCCTTCAATGTAATTTATAATGAAACACATCACGGTAGTTTATTATGAGCTGCTGCGTGCAGAGTGTTTCATTAAGTTAAGCATATCAAGTATTAAGCATTTGATTTCTGGATAGCTTATAATTCCGGAAGAAATTTTTGAGCTACCAAGCACAAGTCCACGTGCAAAACCACTGCGGGGCGGGACTTATGCATTGGGTAATGACTTTGTAGAAAGTATTACATATTTCAGAGGCAATAGTAGGCAAAAACAATCAGTTGTACCCTTGCCAAGATTCGAGCCGTAGATATTCCAGTTACCAGCTGGACGTTCTAACCACTTTCGTACGAAAGAATACAATAGTTCCTTGTATTCTCCCTCACTTGAAAAGGCTAGTGAGATGACAAAAATCTCTATTGACCAAATTTGTATAATGGAGAATAATTTCCCATTACATTTTATAGTCTGTTACTTTAGAATAGGCACTTCAGGATCATTTTACATCATTTCGCTTGTCTCGTAACCATGATAAAAAATCCTGCGGCAGATAGCTAGTACCCTAAATGTTTTACTCACTTCGCTTTCATTTAGCGTACGTTTCACTTTGTGAAAAGTGCACTAATGAAGGCTGACTTGAATTATAATCTCAGATAAGATAGAGAAAATTAGTGCTATACATGATGCGATCGAAAATATTAGGAAATGTGAAAAGACTTTTTAATGTCAATTTGAAAGTAACAGCTTATAGTTCGGGCACTACTGCAGCGTCTATTAGACGTTTCGGACTAGGCAACATGAAAAATCAACTATGTCCTTGCTGGGATTCGAATCATGAATCTTCTAGCTGGACATGATATAATTTCTCACTCTTCTCTTCATAGAGGTTACCATCTTCATCAAAATAAAGCCTTTCTGGTGGCCTATCAGTTTTGTGTCGGCTTTGGAGAAACCTGTACTGAAAAGGGAAACAAAACAATCTTATTCATGTATTTTCAGCTAAATAAGTGCATCTATTTATTCATACTGGTGTATAAGGCGTAAAAGCCGAGCATCAAACGCTGGATTTCATGATTGTTGGACTTTTGTGCTATTTTCAATGGTGAAATCTTCATGGAATAAGGATTGGTAAATTAATTGCTTAAGATGAAACATTAGTTGCATCAAACAAACAAAATTCCATTTAAGAGCGTTGATTAAAGTAAATTATCTTACCTCATGGACAGGCACTGAAAAATCTATTAAGGTTAATTACAATTTTTCTTTTCTTTACAAACTATTAAACAATTCCATAGAAATTCCTTACCCTTCTTCTTCATATTAAATGAGATGGTTCTTTACATCCGCACCTCTATTATTTAACAATAGTAAGTATGTATGTATGTATACATATATTTCTCTACTTGTACGTATGTTGGTAAGTTCGTATGCTTTTCCCACTATGGAAAAAATAGCTGCACCTACAGCCACACACTCTTGAATACTTATAATCTTTCATCTCAAAATATGCACCTTGAAATGAGAATTTTGAATTCCGAATTATTTTATTTATTCTATGTTTTGTGCGAACATAATGAAATTCTGATTAACAAACTCAGAGGTTTAAAAGCAAAGTTTTCCCACTAGGCAAAGTGTAAGATATTTGTATGCCAAATTTAAATAAATGATCTCCCTGTTCAAAAGAAATGTATTGCAATTGTCCAAAATAAGATATTTTATCTTCCATACGTTATTGAGTTTACAAATTTAATCTATCTGTTGTAGGGTTTATATTTATTTTAACTAACATTTATTTTAAGTTTAAACTATCTTTCCTGTCAAGCCTTACTTTCCCCTGGAACTGCCAATGCCAGAGTATGTAAATTTTAGTAGAACGCGCAAGGATTCAAATTATTGCGGAAGTATCTGAGTTAAATAGAAAGGAAACGAGTTCGAAAGGGTGTTTTCTTGCTCTTCACGAGTGTGGAGGTGGCTAGTTAGAAATTGAAAACCACGCGTTGCGGCCTGTGTGCTTTGCCTCGGCAAATTGTTAATCTTTCAACGTATAATATTCAAGTTTGCTGAATTATCAGCGGTATTGTAAAACGCGGTGAGGTTAGTTATTTTAGAGAGCCTCGTAGTTAGTTACTTGTAGGATTTCTTTTTAGTTTTATTTTTTATTTTACCGCCGGGTCGGCGTAGTTTGTGAGCGTCAAGAGCACGCATTTGTAACTTCTAAGTTGAATAAAAAGGGACTTGAAACCCTTCTCAAGACTCTGTCTAATTTCCAGTTTTCAGCAGTCACCCTTTGTTGCGTGCAGGTTGGAAGCGCGCAACGTTACATTGGCGCCCGAACACTTGTCGAACTGAAATGGCCGAAAATTGGATGGAATTAGCCGCTGGACAACAACAAGAAATGGCAAGCCATTGGAAGGATTTGGATACCTGGTCCAGACTTTGAGAGCGTCAATCAAGCCAAACGTCAATTTCGACGGAAAAAAAAATTCGGTGGTGGCGATATTTCTAGAAAGCTCGAAAATCACTTCAGCTCTACCCTGTGCCTGAAAGACAAAAAGTTGTCCATCGCCACATCTGCACTAAGAGGACAGGCCGCGCTATGGTGGAAGAATATAGGCAAATTTTTATTAGGGGAATTTCGGAAGCCAGACATATACATTTGAAAATTTCAAAAAATCGTTAGTAAAGGCCTTCCCCATAGTGAAAGATCGAGCAGCAAGGCTAGAAGCCGAACTATATAGTTTCTATCAACGGGATATAGAAGAGTTGACGGACTTTATTTCTGCGAAAAATTAAGCTGACGGATATGCTGTATGCGGAGATTATTGAAATAATCTACCAAGATTGTTACCTGCTGTTCAAGACTACTTTCGAAATTAGAAACCCAAAACACATTGCAGGAGCTCTTCGAATTGGCGGTGAAGTTTCAAAATCGCAGAATAGCGGAAAAAGCTAGAGGGGCAACGTATTCTCAAAGCATCCGAAGGCAATCTTCAAATGAGCAGACCAGAAATGCAAACCGCTCTTATGGGGAAAGAGCTATCAAGCTAACTCATCGAACCTCGAAGGTCAAGGCCCAAAAAGAAAATTTGAAAACAAACGTCCGCGTACCCAGAAGGCAGAAGTTGAAAGGAAAGCTTTAAACGAGTAGAGGGGCCTGTGAAAGCGAGGGTCCAGACCCCGGAAGTTTTAAAAAACCCTCAAAAAGACATTTAAATACGGTCATCGTAAAAGAACTCACACATCTACCAATTATACAAGTCCTGGTTGGCGATGTACCAGTAGAAGCCCTC